AATATCTGTACTCCTACTTGAGATCCCCCTGCTTACGTAGCCAAGGTTTGCATTAGTCCTTTTAGCCACCATGTGACAACAAGAGCTCATGTTAGGCTACTTATCACTTGCTCAAAGTGTCAGAGGGAGTTAGGTGCAGAACTGGGAATAAAATGCAAACTTACTGACTCCTAGGTCCAGATTCTTAACGTGTATGAATTCTCACAGTTCATTTGAAATCAATGAAGTTCTAACAATAGGACCTAGTTCCCTAGCCTAATTACTAGATTCCACTCCTTTCCTATAAACTTAGATTTAAACATTAAAGCTAAACCTTGCTAGTCATCTCAGAAAGCCTATGCAATACTGTTATCCCACTGAAGCCCTCCAACCGGAATTAAGTGGGACTGAATCAACACATGGGCCTTCTTCAGGCTTATCTGAAGAAGGTGAATTTCACCCTCCTTTCCTAGAGTTGCGCTGGAGGAGCCCTACTTGGGAAAGTGGCAGTAGTGCAGCTTCTTCAGCTGAACTTTCAGCCTGGTGAAACTTTCAACCAAAGTGCTAACCAACGATAACGTAGATTTAATACTTCACTGCTTAACAGAAAGTGTACAGATTTCAGAACACGAACAGCAAGAAGAGATCCTAATGGGAATTTTCAGAATAATTATGTTGATCACTTAATGTATTGTTTCATGTTAAGTGAGTGAAAATGGATTCATGTATTTTAATGAAACTTTATGGTAATAGAGGTAATTGAGAAGGAATTCTCTCAGTTTTCAGGCAATCTGTCTCTGAAAGTTTTAAAATAGATGATCCACTCAAATGTCTGATTCATTTTAGAAAAATGCCTTTTTACACAAATGAAAGTCATCTTGAACTGGACAAAAATATTTCAGTCTGTCAGCTAAAGATAAAACTGATTGAATTTTTTTTAAATCTTCCCTTCTATGTTCTAAGATAGCTAAAGTATATGATATGATAAAATAGAATTTCACAAAGACTGTATTTGATGGCTTTTAACCATCTGCAATTATCAGTCTAATATTACCAGATACTTCACTGTAAAGGAAACAACATAATTGGAAAAACCTAATTAAATACTTCTGTTAGTCTATCTCAATAAACCTGTTCAGAGACTGTTTGCTGTGTATCCATATACAAAACTTTGAGACAGCAAAATCATAATGATAAATTTTTAAAGTCTGTTATAAAATGGGCTTGAAGAAATCCAGGATTGTAACTGGCTATATCAATTTAAAGACAGCATGTTTAATTATTAGTGTTGCATGGTTTGGAAATCTCTTTTCAGAGTGGGGAATTTCATCAGAAAAACAAACAAATATGAATCAACATACTAAATATACATCTGAATAAATCACAAGCTTTAAAATTCCTAAGAAGGATTTTAAAGCCTCTTTCAGGCAATCAAAAGTACAACTCCAGTGGTTTGCACCTACAGACAACAGGCTCATTCATTACCCCACCCTGATGCATTCTCACTGTACATCCCTGACATCAGGCTGACTCCCCTCCGAAATTACAGATTCCTGCTCTAAAGCAGGGAGCTGCTAGAGTTTCTCAAAACGGCTGTCTGAATTTCTTGAACATGGATAAAAGAACATATTTTCTGGGTCTGCAAAATGAAAACTGTTTTAGCTGAAGGTTCCAAAAGAAAAATTTCAGCCGAGGCAGACACCCAGCATAGAACATTTCAGCCCACATAGTTTAAGTTTGGAAAAGTTGTAAGTAACTGAAAAGAGTTTCTTATGATGGTAAGTGGAGCAACCTTAACTATAGGTGGCACAGTTTATAATAAACTTATTGTGTTCAGTAGCACTTTCTATGGGCATCCTTAACCACTAGTAGGAGTGATGGCTGCACAAAGAATCCAGTATTGGGCCTTTAATTTCTGTAAAGTTATAGCACATTCCCCTTAGTAAATTTCTGACACATACACATACGTCTGGATTTACTGAAATCCAGTTGAAATCCAGTTATTGAAGTATGGTGCCCTGCTATTGCAAGCAGCCCTGTCATATAATCCCATTTATAAATTTATCAAATTTCAAGTTTAAACAAGTTCAGTTGTTTGCCCCCACTACTCCTATTGGGTGGCTGTTACAAAACCTCATTCTTCTGATGATTAGACACCTCCTAATTTCCAGACTACATATATTCATGGACAGTTTATTGCATCAACATTTAATCTTAAAAAGCTCTTCTCCCTCCCTGGTATTTACTCCCTGCTGTATTTTTAGAGAGCAGTCCTCTACCCTCTCAGACTTTGTTTGTCTAGGCTAGTCATAAGTAACCTTTTGTCCCCGACCCACCTGAGCCAGATTTTCAGGAGGTGTAAATCATCTTAGCAGCACTGAAATCAATCCCGCTGGGAATCTGTATTCCTCTTTTATCTAATTTCATCTATTGAGGTTGGATACAGCAATGTAACCTGTTAGAGTTTAATATAACTTCATAATTTAATAACTAATCCCTTCAATTTTTGTGAAAGAAAAAAATAAAACAGTTCCCAGAGGAAAAAAAGAGACAGCTTAATATGTACAGCTAAATATCTTTCACCAGATATCAAAGTAACCCAAGAATGTTTAAAACTGCATTTCTAAGGAAAAACAGGAATGATTGTTGGTTAAAGGTTCAGAATAATGGGCAGGAAATCTAGGTTCTAGTCCTTCTGCTCAGAGCTACTGCAAGTCACTTAAAGTCTATGAATTAAATTCACCCATGTAGAGAAGACCAATTCAAGACACACCATACTGTTTAAATTCCACAACAGAAGGCCGTGCATGGTTTCATTATCTGATCGGGAATTGATTGTCCGTATCTCCATTTCCCCCTAGTCAGAATGAGAGCACTGTTCTACTGTTGCAAGTTTTATTGATGATTGTTAAGAATCAGTTAACTACTTGATGAAAGACATTATAGAAGTGCCAAGTGTTATTAAACAGCACACTGTACAAAGTATATCAGTTGGTATATAAAGGTTGCTAGATACCAGGTCTGCATTTACTCCTCGTAGTTCAGTTCACGCACACCGCTGTTCTCCATGACTGATAATCTGTTCTTGCTGCACTGCAGCTTTCAGGGCTTTAAACATCTTCTGTTACAGCCACTATCAGTTCTCTTCCAGCAAAACAGGAGCTATACAACTAACTGCTGCTTATATTACTTCAACACAACAGCATAATGCACAGTTGCCTACTCTAACCCAGGGAGGGTGAGTGGGGGGAGCTTTTGCAGTGGTAAACGTACCTGCTCACTGACCTGAAACACGTAGTCAATGCTTAGCACATTCCATTTTTAAGACTTTTTTTCTAGTCTTTTCTCCTCCAAGCCTTAAAAGAAAAGATGATTGGCAGTTCCCCTCCTACCGATTAGTGAACGGACTCTAGCACAAAGGGGAAAAGCTAAGCTCTTCCTCATTGTGGAACTATCCCCTGCTGAGCTCTTCCCAAGGCTTCCACAAAGCACCAACAGGTTAGTTTGCTACAGCCCTAACCACAATGAGTCAACACTAACTTCCCTTCAGGGGAAAGATGTTTCATTCCTAATGATCTGTCCAAGAAGAAAATACAGTTTACAGAGACTACATCTGTTTCTTCTTTTCCCTTTATGTCACTCTTTTAAAAATAGGTATCGGAATGTTTCCAAACTGAAAATGTCTTAATTGGATCTAAATCCTAATATCTGCCCTGTAGTGAAAAAAAATTATCCAAATCACTTTGTAACAGTTAAATGTTTTCGACCAGAGGGAGTAAATTATGAGTGACCTATTTTCAGGGTGACAAATCATAATGTTTTATTTTGTATCTGGAGCTAAGGTCCTGATCCTCCAATCAGATCTGCATGGGCAGAACTTTCACCCTTGCAAAGACCCATTGGCTTAAATAATAGATTCATAGAAATGTAGGACTGGAAGGGACCTCAATAGATCATCTAGTCCAGTCCCCTGCACTTAAGGCAGGAGTAAGTAATAATTAGACCAATCCTGAGAGGTGTTTGTCTAACATGTATTAAAAACCTCCAGTGATGGATATTCTGCACCTCCCTAGCCAATTTTTTCCAGTGCTTAACTACCTTAAAGTTAGAAAGTTATTCTTAATGTCCAACCTGAACCACTCTTCCCACAATTTAACCCCATTGCCTCTTGTCCTAACCTCAGAGGTTAAGGAGAATAATTTTTCTCCCTTCTCCTTATAACAATCTTTTATTGAGAACCAGGGGTAAAAGTGAGCCGGTACGGGTCTGTAGAGTGTACCAGTAAGAACCTGCACTGGTCCGTACGCAGCCCACATTAAAGTGCTGCCACCGCAGCGCTTTAATGTCCCTGCCCCTTTGCCTCCCCCACCGGTGGCCCTCCTGGTAGGGTCCATACTGGCAGGGCGGCCGATGGGAGGGCTGGGGGAAGGGGCAGCAACGTTAAAGCACTGCCGTGACAAAGGACCGTCCTTAAAGCACTGTCGTGGCTTTAACGCTTTAAGCGCTGCTGTGCTTTAACATCTCTGTCCCTTCCTCCCCATTGGCGGCCCTGCTGGTAGGGTCCGTACCAGTAGGATCGCCGATGTGGGAGGTCAAAGGGGCAGCACTTTAAGGATGGTCCTATGCCACGGCAGCGCTTGAACATTGCTGTACCCCTCCCACTGACGGCCCTACCAGCAGGGCCACTGACGAGCGGGGGCGGGGGGGGGAGCAGCAATGTTAAAAGTGCTGCTGCGGTAAAAGACCCTGCAGCGCTTTAACGTCCCTGCCCCTTTTGCCCCGCCCCCCCAGGGCATTGACGGGGGCGGGGGAGACACAAAGGGAGCAGCTGCCCTGGAACCAGAGATTTAAAGGGGCCCGGGGCTCCGGACGCCTCTGCCGCTACCACAGTCGTAGCATCCAGAGCCCCAGGCCCTTTAAATCGCCACTGGAGCCCTGGGCGACGTGGGCCAGGCAGCCTGGAAGGGCGGACTGGGGGATGCTGACTCCCAGCCCCGCCCCTTCCATCCAAGACCCCCCCCTTCTGGGGGACCAGAGCCAGCCCCAGCCCCGTACTGGTAAGTGTCTGGAGTTACTTTCACCCCTGTTGAAAACTGTTATTATGTCTCCCCCCTCAGTCTTCTCTTCTTGAGACTAAACAAACACAGTTTTTTTCAGTCTTTCTTCACAGGCATTGTTTTCTAGAACTTTAATCATTTTTGTTGCTCTCCTCTGGATTTTCTCCAATTTGTCCACATCTTTCCTGTGATGTGGTGCCCATAACTAAACAGTACTCCAGCTGAGGCCTTATCAGTGCTGAGTAGAGCGGAAGAATTACTTCTCATATCTTACTTACAATATTTCTGCTGATACATCCAAGAATGTTTTTCTTCCCAACAGTGGAATGTCTTGCTTGCACAGGGATCAACCTGCCCTGGTCCAAGTGTAACACTGGGGGCCTGAGTGAGTTGATTGTGATTGGTTTAGATTGCTCTGGAATTCTAGAGCACTTTAGTTGTGGAAGGCATTAATGTAATAAGGGTAAAGAACACAATATGCATTTTATTTGGTGACTTCTGTAATATGTTCCTATTTGCTAATTTCATTTTCTCATCCTGCTCTACACCTTAGTTATATTGAGCTGATCATTGCATGATTATATATAAACATTTTTCTTCCCAATTATTCATCTTTATACTAATAAAGATATTAAACTGAACACAAAATATCCCAATAAAAGCATAGTTAACTCAAAATTAAGAAAAAAATCATGAGTAGTGACAGGAGCAGAAGAGAAGCTTTTTAAAAATGCATCTACGTAATCTGGATAAGGTGTATGTACGTATCTGTATGGTGATACATGATTGATTTATTTTCATGGGACCTACAGGTTGCTCATGCTTTAGACTGGTGTTGCCATTTCATTGCAGGCTCATGCTTTTGAAAGGCTGAAAATGGTCAGCCTAAATTTCCGCATATGTGTTTGTATTTACAGACAGAAACTCAGGTATGCAGAATCTCCCTTTTTGCCTTCTGCACCTGCATTGACTGAAACTGTAGCCATGAGAGCCAAGTACAGCTCATTTCAGCTTCAGGCATAGGTTTGGAAATCAGACCATTTCCTAACTCTTGCATGCACTGAAGCAACTGTTCTCAATTCTGTCATGAATATCATATTGGGAAATCACCAGTGTTAATACATTTCTTCTGGGATATTATTCTTCACACAGAATATTGCCTGGTGTCATGACACAGCAGTGACACGTGGAGTGTTGAGTGTCAATCTGATTTGATTTCAGACCACTGCAGATATAGAAATTAATGGAGAAGCCAAGGATTGCTCCCAGAGAGCCATATTCTCAAGGGGACCTTTCAGGCACAGATCACACATCATACAGATACCAACACTAAACTGGGGGAAGAGGTAGATATGCTGGAGGGTAGGGATCGCTTCCAGAGTGACCTAGACAAATTGGAGGATTGGGCCAAAAGAAATCTGATGAGGTTCAACAAGGACAAGTTCTCCACTTAGGATGGAAGAATCCCATGCACTGCTACAGGCTGGGGACTGGCTGGCTAAGCAGCAGTTCCACAGACAAGTAGGTGGGGATTACAGTGGATGAGAAGCTGGATCTGAGTTAACATTGTGCCCTTGTTGCCAAGAAGGCTAATGCCATATTGGGCTGCGTTAGTAGGAGCATTGCCAGCCGATCAAGAGACGTAATTATTCCCTTCTATTTGGCACTGGTGAGGCCACATCTGGAGTATTGCATCAAGTTTTGGGGCCCCCACTACAGAAAGGATGTGGACAAATTGGAGAGAGTCCAGCGAAGGGCAACGAAAATGATCAGGGGGTTGGGGTACATGACTTGCGAGGAGAGGCTGAGGGAACAGGGCTTGTTTAGTCTTCAGAAGAGAAGACTGAGGGGGGATTGGATAGCAGCCTTCAATAACCTGAAGTGGGGTTCCAAAGAGGATGGAGCTAGGCTGTTCTCAGTAGTGGCAGATGACAGAACAAGAAGCAATGGTCTCAAGTTGCAGTGAGGAAGGTCTAGGTTGGATATTAGGAAACTCTATTTCACTAGGAGGGTGGTGAAGCAGTGGAATGGGTTACCTAGGGAGGTTGTGGAATCTCCATCCTTAGATGTTTTGCAGGCCTGGCTTGACAAAACCCTGGCTGCGATGACTTATTTGGTGTTGGTCCTACTTTGAGCAGGGGATTGGACTAGATGACCTTCTGAGGTCTCTTCCAACCCTAATCTTCTATGATTCTATGATCACATCCTTTATATTCAGAACTGGTCAGGTCAGTTGCCTTCATGGCACTATCCTTAGACATGATGAAAAGGCAGGGCCTGAGGCTGAGAAGTCTCAGAGTACAGCTCCACTGTACCCACACTGCCAGGAGCCAAGAAGAGATAAGGGAACCAGGACTTATGTGTAGCAGCAGCATAGGGCCTCAGGACATCCTGGAGAGGGACAACCTCCTCTTCCTCCAAAATGTATTCAAAGTAAATTCCAAGAGGGAGTGTTTTTCAGTGGGAGTGGAGATCTTCCTCCCTGTCCCCCATGTAATTAATGTCTGTCACAGGATATTGGTCAGTTTTACAGTACCACCATGTTTATCTCCAAAGTGCTCTGTATCATGCTATGTGCAGCAGTATTTACATGTTGGTCAAAATGCAGCAATGGTTGCACATACTTATCTGCAGGCCTCTGAACCATGGATTGGTATTTTGCTTGTAGCTATTTATCCACCTTTGTGAAACACTTTGGCATCTTTTTATGATCTAGTGCAAACTACTCAATATTATTATAGAGATTGAGGAAACTGTAAGAACAATAACAACTGAAACAAAGCAGCAGACAGAAAATAATGTCTTTTTTGTATAAAGAACAGTAAATGGTTCTACTCTAACAAAGGGATCCTGTGAAAAGGAATTGTGGAGTTCGATATTTAAATGATTTCTGTGTAGCAAATGTAATCAGTTTACAAGTAAAAAGTCATTTTTTCCTAACTACCAGCCCTGAAAACTCAATATGGGATGTGACATTCAAGCTGGGTTCTTTTACCTATAATAAAGGTTCTGAAGGAATTCATGCCCCAGGTTACACTTGTGTAACCACACTACCTTCAGAGGCATGGCATGGGTGTGACTGAATGGCCCTTTAATTGAAATGTAGGAAAACAGTCAGTGTACTGACCAGAAAAAGAAGGGAGCCTAGCTTTTTCTCTTTCAACTGTCTTGGCTCTAAAAGGTCACAGGAGTAAAAGCAAAAATATATCTCCTTCAAGTAGATAGATATACTTTCAATATACACAGGGAACAGATCTGATAAATAAGGAGATAGTTTTACAAATTCACTTTTTTTTTTAATTTAATTTTGTTAAATTAATTAATTTTGTCTCCTGTGCTCTGCAAATCTTTGTTTTGGATTTTACCCTATTTTAACTCTGGTCTTCCAAATGTTAGATACAATAGCTAAGTTAACTCTTGACCTATTTGATGAGTCTGCCAAAGATATCATTCCTTTTTCTGCTAAAATCTTATTTTATGTAGCCCTTTCAAGTAAGTTACTAGGGCTGTCGATTAATCACAGTTAACTCACGCGATTAACTAAAAAAATTTATTGCGACTAATTGCAGTTTTAATCGCACTGCTAAACAATAAAATACCAATTCAAATGAATTAAATATTTTTGGATGTTTTCTATATTTTCAAATATATTGATTTCAATTACAACACAGAATACAAAGTGTACAGTGCTCACGATATATTATTATTTTTATTACAAATATTTTCACTGTACAAATGATAAACAAAATAAGTAGTATTTTTCAATTCACCCCATACAAGTAATGTAGCGAGATCTCTTTATCATGAAAGTGAAACTTACAAATGTAGATTTTTTGTTGTTACATAACTGCACTCAAAAAAATCCAATGTAAAACTTTAGCGCCTAAAAGGCCATTCAGTCCTACTTCTTGTTCAGCCAATCACTAAGAAAAACAAGTTTGCTTACATTTGCAGGCGCTAATGCTGCCCACTTCTTATTCACAATGTCACCTGAAAGTAAGAACAGGTGTTTGCATGGCACTTTTGTAGCTGGCATTGCAGGGTATGCTAAATATTTGTATGCCCCTTCATGCTTCAGCCACCATTCCAAAGGACATACTTCCATGCTAATGATGCTCATTAAAAAAAATGTGCTAATTAAATTTGTGACTGAATTCCTTGGGGGAAAATTGTATGTTTCCTTCTCTGTGTTTTACTCATTCTGATATATATTTCATGTTATAGCAGTCTCGGATGATGACTCAGCACACGTTGTTCATTTTAAGAACAGATTCACTGCAGATTTGACGAAACTCAGAGAAGGTACCAATGTGAGATTTATAAAGATAGCTACCTCACTCTACCCAAGATTCAAGAATCTGAAGTGTCTTCCAAAATCTGATCAGGATGGAGTGTGGAGCATGCTTTCAGAATCTTAAAAGAGCAACAATCCAATGTGGAAACTATAGAACTTGAACCACCAACAAAGAAAATCAACCTTCTGCTGGTGGCATCTGACTCCGATAATGAAAATGAACATGCATTGTCCACAGTGACTTTGGATCGTGATTGAGCAGAACCCGCCATCAGCATGGACACATGGTGGTCGAAGCATGAAAGGGGACATATGAATGTTTAGTGAATCTGACACATAAATATCTTGGTATATAAACAAATAAATGGTATTATATTATGGTTTAACAGAGCAATTAATCACAATTCATTTTTTAATCACGTGATTAATCGTGATGAATTTTTCTAATTGCTTGACAGTCCTATAGTTTACCTTTAAATGATTGCTAATCTGAATTTTCACGTGTTTTGGGGGCTGACATACTGCAAAACATGTTTTTCTTTCTCTGAATAGTAGTTGGTATCTGTAAAAGGTTCAATTCCTGTATATTTGTCAGTGTGGCCTCCTTACCTTTTGACATTACATCATGAATTAATGTCACAGACCCACATTCTTATAACCAGATAAGGCTACATTAGCTCTTCTATTTTAAGGTTTTGGTACAGAACATTGCCAACAGATTTCAGTTGAGTGGATACACCCATCTTAGTCAATGCAACACTGAGAGCTAGGAATTGACTCAGAAACTAGTCTTATAAAAACCAAATTAGAATTTAGGATTTTGCATTCTACAGTCATGCATCTGCAAAAGGAACTGAAGACTTGGGTTTTTTTTCACTAAGAAATTCCAGCATGGAGATTTACTCTTCACAAATATACCTATAAAGGGATGTCATTCACTGTGTATGCAAAAATGATTAACACTAGCCTGATCTCTGTCCAAAAGCAGCTATTCTCTTCTGCATTATTTAATTTCCTTTCAACCTTGTCATCATGATTAACTACTCTATAATAAGGATACACACACACACACACAGACACACAAATAAAGATCTGTATGTAGTGGTGAAAGCATGGTGAACAGGTGAAAGGTAACCTCCAATAGTAAGAGCGAATCAATAAAGTAGAGTGTGAGTTACCTGTACCAGTGTGTAGAACCATTCATCTGAAAGCAATATATGTCCTAGTAGAAATAATGGCTTGTTCTTGGGTGCATTGGAAATTTCAGGCATTAAATCTGTCTGAACACATAGAGACCTGGGTCCAAACACTAAATATTCCAAGTTGCATCTTGACCTTTTTTACACCTTTCACATGTGCTTCTCTTCGGTTACAAAATGCTACAGTGAATGGAAATGTTGTCAATTAAGGAAAAAGGGTGTTTGTATCAACCTTTTCATGTGTGGAATTTAATGACATTTTAAGGTTAAAGTAAAAGTCAAACATTGATTTGTAGTGCCTGCATTTAATGTGGCTAATGAACAGAGAATTCTACAAAAACCTTTTAATCCTTTTAAACTTTTACCTATGAAAAGACTTCTTCCTTACAAAGCTTTTTGTTGACAAAGTATTTTAGGACAGAGGAGAAACTGAGCACAAATGTACTCCAATGGGAAACAATCCAGGAAAACCTAGTTTATTTCATTTTAAATTGTATTTATTTCATTTTAAATTCATTGTAAATCTCTTTCATAAGTTGCATGAATGAAAGAAAGGTGATACAAATTGGGATCTTGTTATGCATAACCCTAGATTTTTTTAAATGCTAAGTCTCAGATAAATGCTATCAAGCCTTTCCTCATCTTGATAATGAGATTATAACATTTTTATTTGGTTTATTATTCTACATTATCATAGAAAATGGTGTATACGAGACAAGAGTCAATCTAATGGAAGATAATGGAAGAACTGTATGCAGGAGTCTATTCTTATTTATCAAGCATTGTGAGCTAGTATGGTCATATCAGAAGTAAATTAATAAAAGATGAGCCAATGAAATAGCACAGCTTAATATTTCACAATATGCCACATAGCAAGGAGGACCAGATTAACCCTCTGAACAAAAATTCATCTCACAGCAATTTTTGCTTGATATCACACCATTAGAAAAAGCATAAATCATCTATCATACAAAAGGTAAGGAACACTACTATTTACCTAGAGCCTGTTCCTTCAAAAATTGATGCATCTGCTCAGCGTTATAGTGCGTAGTTCAATTGCCACTTGCAGTGCATAAACATGTCTTTGCAAAGTTGGGGCCCCTATGTGTAAAGTTTTCATGTATTTTCATCACTCTCCTTATAGTGTATAAAGCTAAGCATTTGCATTAGTCTTTGCAGGATTTGGGCCACGGGTTGTAAGATCTTTGGGGCAGGGACTGTCTTTTTATTTATATGTGAGTGCAGCACCTTGCACAAAGGGGCCTTATCTCTACATGCCACTTCAGCGCAAACAATAATGATTAATATTTCAAGGAATTTCTACCAGATAAATGCAAATATAGACATTTTGCATGTCCTTTAAAAAACCACAAGACTTCAGATTCCCTCTTTTGTTTTATCTATTGTTAAACATACTGTATCTGGTATCCACTGATATCACACACTTATACTAGAAGAAGAGAAGATCTGTTGTACCTTTGGTAGCATTGCTCATTGCTTAGGTAGCATGTGGACCCTCTGAATATTTAGGGACAGATATCCCTGATTTCACTGGACTACTTGTGGAGCAAGGTACTACATATTGTGAGTAAGGGTATCAGGATCTGGTTCTTAGGACCTCTTAGATGTGATTAAAATCATTGGATCTAATTCTAATCTCCAGAGTAACTCCACTTAAATAATTGTTACCCTTAATGACATTGGGTCATTATTTACTTTTTGAGATGTCTCAAATGGGGATTCCAAGGAATCAGACACCACACAATGTGAGTAGGGGGAGGCATTTTGCCCCACAAACAATTATGTTTCCTCTGTGCTAAGATCTACTATGTCATCAAGAATATTGTAGTAGAAAGAGAGAGCCTGAGACATAAGGCCTGGTGTAAGTCCTAAGGCCTGAACTAAAGTCAGCCCCTGCTGATATAAAGCAAAGTTAGCAAAAGTCAAGCTATGAGCAAAGTCAGGCCCAGTTACAAAACATACCTACTTGCAAGTTCACAAAACATGGCAAGAACAGGGCTAGTATTGCAAAAATGCAAACACTCCTAAGAAGTGCTAGGCACAGAATACTCATGTAAACACATTCCAGAAGGGTAGTACCAGAACACCCCAATACCAAGCATGGCATAAACACACTCCCTGATGATAACAGGGACACCTTGACCCCTCCTAAAGATTAGGTCAGGGTGACAGGGGGATGGATAGAGATGTTTTGATTGAACCAACATGTACCAGATAAAGGGTGGTAACTAACTACGTCAGTTGAGAGCCACAGCACTAACACATGTATGCTCATTGCAATGGTCTTGGTTCAGTGAATGGCGGGCCTTTCCATTCTCCAGTAGGCAGGACAAAGATACTCCTCTGGCCCTCCTCTTTATTCACTGATACAACCAAGTTGTCCAACATACTGGAGAATGAAAAGGCCTGCCATTCACTGACCCAAGTCCATTGCAACGAGCATACATGTGTTAGTGCAGTGGTTCTCAACCTTTCCGGACTACTATACCCCTTTCAGGAGCCTGATTTGTCTTGTGTACCCCCAAGTTTCACCTCACTTAAAAACTAGTTGCTTACAAAAATCATTCTTCTTACTTTCCCCCCTGCCTCCATACATGCCTCCCAAACCATCTTGGACCTTTCTTCCCGAGAATGCAGTCATTTTTTTTCAAATAACAGTATAACCTCTGTACTAAATTGAAGCCAATCATTAGATGTCAAAGGCATATTTATAAGACCAAGATATGAGTAACGTTTTTCCAATGCCATCTTCTCAAACATGGAAGGACAGAGACAGGTTGGTATTTGGTAAGACTGTTAATGTCAAACGATGGCTTCTTCTGCAAAAACTTCAATAATGTATTATTAAAAGCTGGTGGTGTCCTGCCTTCTGAGTGGGAAATATTAAAAATTATTCTCAATAATGAATCCAGAGCTTCTCTTAAACTCTTTGCCAGCCACAGAGGGTTAGAGTCCTGTTCACAACTGGTTGAAAACAAGTCCATGAACACATTCAAGACCTCAAAGCTTGATAAACATCACCCCAAGAAGGTGATGCAGTTATAAACGCCCGTTCTGATACCATTACCTAGTATCTGCAATCTCAGCCTATACTTGAACAATGTTATCTATAACAAGAGAGAAAATATCTGATGGTGAAAAATGCTACTTTGTTGTAGCATTAAGGCAATTCAGATTCACTAGACTACCCTTGACTTTGAATAGTTCTTCTGGATGAGACTTTACTGATGCTATAGCAAGAGCAAAGAATTACTCCTTTGTCATACCCACAGAACAGGAATATAAAGCTTCTCTTTTCCGCTATTGATCTTGATAGGAGTAATATTTTTCTGCCCCTTTCCTTTTCATTTATCAGTTGCAGGTAATCGATAAATCACAATGGCCTGTGAGAATGATAAAAGATAGTGTCTATGTATAAATCTCTCAATGTTTGTGTTTAAAAGTTCGCCATGGCACTATATTCCGTAGAATCATAGAATCATAGAATATCTGGGTTGGAAGGGACCTCTGGAGGTCATCTAGTCCAACCCTCTGCTCAAAGCAGGACCGATCCCCAATTAAGTCATTTCAGCCAGGGCTTTGTCAAGCCTGACCTTAAAAACTTCTAAGGAAGGAGATTCCACCACCTCCCTAGGTAACTCATTCCAGTGTTTCACCACCCTCCTAGTGAAAAAGTTTTTCCTAATATCCAACCTCAATCTCCCCCATTGCAACTTGAGACCATTACTCCTTGTTCTATCATCTGCTACCACTGAGAACAGTCTAGAGCCATTCTCTTTGGAACCCCCTTTCCGGTAGTTGAAAGCAGCTATCAAATCCCCCCTCATTCTTCTCTTCCGTAGACTAAACAATCCCAGTTCCCTAAGCCTCTCCTCATAACTCATGTGTTCCAGTCCCCTAATCATTTTTGTTGCCCTTGCTGGAGTCTTTCCAATTTTTCCACATCCTTCTTGTAGTGTGGGGCCCAAAACTGGACACAGTACTCCAGATGAAGCCTCACCAGTGTTGAATAGAGGGGAACGATCACGTCCCTCGATCTACTGGCAATGCCCCTATTTATACATCCCAAAATGCCATTGGCCTTCTTAGCAACAAGGGCACACTGTTGACTCATATCCAGCTTCTCGTCCACTGTAACCCCTAGGTCCTTTTCTGCAGAACTGCTGCCGA